CACCCGTCGAACTTGCACGCGCTGCACTGGTAACTGCAAGAGGCGAGGCGGCTAATGTGCAATCTGCTGCGCGCGCCCTCGGGTGGCGGGTGCGGGGCGCCCATGCGCTCGATGGCTCCGTGGTAGTTTTTCGCCGCGACCATGTTCACTACGCGAAGGTCGCCGCGAGGTGGGGGAAATGGGCCGGGCACTTTGGGGGCGCAGGATAGGGGCCAACGCTGTCCATGACATACTGGTTCCAGAAGATGTTCGATGTAATTGACATAATCTCGGCCCCAGCCTCATGTTCACCGTTAACGTGTTTTGGCCCATAGGTGTGCATGATACCATTCGCTCGCACTTTTGATGGATGATGATCTCTCGAATCTTTCAATAATTGCGGACTCCACATCTGCCGAAATCCCCTCGACCTTCAGTTGGATGACTTGCCCGTCCTCTTCCCGCAGGCCGTCTGGTATCCAATTGTGGTAAAGGTGCTGGCACTTGCGCCTGTGCCCTTGAATCGAGTTGGAAGGCGCCATGTCTTCACACATTGCGCAGTACGTGCGACGAACCCCGAGACCCATTGCAGTGGCACGCTAAAGGCAAGTGCGGCGACTAAAACACCCCCTTTTGAGGCTGCACTGGCATCGGAGGCACGTGGGATGACGAAGATCGGAAAGCAAAGAGCTTGGCAGTGTTTCTGACTTCGATGTCGGAAACACTGCCCGCCTCGATCCCAGCAGGTTTCAGGTTCCCAACGGTCCTTTCGGATCCGAAAGGGGACGATGAAAACTTGGAACCCAAGAAATCAGAAACGAAATCCAAGATCCTTGAAAACTGAACCGAATCCACAGAAATCCCAGGCACCAGAGCCGAGACCCAAGAAATCCGACCAAAAATCATGGACATCTGTGCGTCATCGAATCATGGTTTGTTTCATCAAATCCCTCATCAAATCTTTTCTCTCTCTTATATATATGTATATATACATATATGTATATATATACTGTTATGGACCATTTTCAAGAATCATCAAATCGCTCATCAATTCGCTCATCAAATTTATCACGGGGTGAATCGCCCCCAGATGCCCAAATCGCCACGTTGCCGTCATCAGACGGCCCCCCGCCGGCCTCAGACTGCACCCCAGCTCCAGAACCAGACAAAATATGTTTTCCATTGCGTAAGGCAACGTGTGTTCTGCTACGTCTTTCTCGCACTGAAATCTTAGCAGTCGAACGTGAAATCTGGCATTGCCTATGGACCAGGGATCCTGTGCAGCCCACATCAAAGCCTGGCCCATATCGTACTGCTGTGAATTCGAAATACTGCATGCAAGACGTGATGGCGCACATGAACTGTCATACATACGACGTCGCAGCCGCGCGCATGCTCTGCAACTTGCCGTTCAGGATCTCGATATGCTTCAAGGCTGGCTCCAGCTCAAAAAACTCGCTGGCCTCCGTCACGATCTGGGCCGTATTCGGGTACTTCTTTACCACATCGGCCTGGCTCAAAGTCAACACGTGAACAGCGAAGGCACCGTCGGCGGCTTCCGTGACAGCCCGTGAGATCGGCGATCATAGGACTACTTAGGTACCACTTCTGTAACTCAGGATTGGAGGAGGCCAGCTTCAGGATGGTTGTAGCTGTAGTCGTCGCTGCTTGATAGGTCTACAGCTTGAAGACGCTGGTCATCAGCTGCTTGGGCGTCTTCTCCGTCGTCGGCTCCACCTGGACCTTCTTGATTGGTCGCTCTGCGTCATCGGCACCGCCCTCGCCGCCCATGCCCTTCCGCTTGGCATCGGCGCTCGTGATCGCGCCTGATTTGGCACCCTCAGTGGTGTTCTTGCTCTTCTGGAGGTCCTGGTACTTCGTCCACTTGCGCCTGCCAACTAATGGCAGCCCAACGACGATCCAGCTAGCTAAAGCATGCCGAGGATCCTTACCAGCCTGGAACCTATCCCTGCCCCTATGCTGGACACCTCCTCATCGCGATGCCAATCTCAGGGTTCCCTTATTTTTTGAGGGCGGATCCCTAAGATTGTCATCGCCCTTTGGCGTGTCAATCATAGGGATAGGGATGCGTTCGAGGCTGGTAAGATCAGTCGGGGAGTCATCTATGATGAGCGGCGGGGGCTAAACCCCCCCCCCCCCCCCCCCCCTCATCAGAAATCCTCCCCCCCCGCACCACCCAGCACCCGCTTCTAGTACACTAGTGGCGGGGGCTATGCGGCGGGACGGATGCTCGGCATGTTGCGCTTGCCAGATCATCGTTCGGACGGCCATTCGGCCTGAAGGTGTCCTTGTGCTGCCGCTTCACATATACATACTCTGGCCTCTCCGTCATATCGTTCCAACTCATCCATGTTCCACCCATCTGGGCGCATTTTGTAGCGTAGCATAGGCCAGCCCGAATATTCTCTGCCAGCCGCCATCCACCTTCGTTCTCGATGATCACTGGCAACGCCATGTAGGTGCCGATCTCGATGTCCTCGACCTCCCACTCCGACGTCTTGGAATACTTGGACTTGATCTCTGAGAGCATGTCCCTAACCCAGGCAAGTCTCCACTCCTCTTTCTCTGGGTTGTCATCTTGGAATATTTCGTCTCGTCATCCTCCTGGCGGGTCGCGCCGACCCCCCCCCCCTCAAACGCGTTTTGTTTTCTTTTTTTTTTTTTTTTTGGGGGGGGGGGTCGGCGCCCCAGCGTCAAGACACCGCGCAGGTTAGCCCAGAGGTGGCTCGAACATTCAAACGTCCCCTCCCCCTTCTCCTCCGCTTCCAGGTGGGCCGTGCAGTTTCCGCCCTCCGAATTCTGTTTCTTCTGTCTATTCCTCCTCCTCGCCACTTCGGCTCCCGCTCGAGACTTGGAATCTGGGGACCGTTGAAGAAACGCCGTTTTCTGAAAATTCATATGGCCCCCGGGGCTTCGAAGCGGACACGCGCGCGGTGACCCCAACAGCCTAGGAGGAGGAGGAGGGTTCGGGATCCTCAGGTTTAGGAAGGTGCTTGTTGACGAGGTGGTAGCGGTAGACGAACTCGTGCTTCGCTTTTAGGATCGCTAGCCTCATCGATCTGTACTCTTTCGAGTGGTAGCGTGGGACATGCAACGTCGAGTCTGCAATGACGCGCGGCCGTATCTCACGGGCGAATGCTTGAAACGGGGCGGGGGTGAGGACGGCCGACACATGCCCCATCAATGGGGCCTCTATCCGCCGTTGATAGCTAAGGTTAATAGCTAAGGTTAAGTGCGACATATGCTTCCCATCGCACGCTCGCGCATGTTTGGTTATGGTGGGGTTGGCGGCGACATGCGAAGCGTCAGCGACGCTGTCTTATATGCGGGTATTCTGGAACCTGGTAGCCTCTGGGGCCTGAGAGTCTCAAGTTTGTCATGTGGGAGCCTCTGGAGCCCAGGGGCCCCTGGATAACCTGGTAGCCTCTGGGGCCTGGGAGTCTCAAGTTTGTCAAGTGAGAGCCTCTGGAGCCCATGAGCCCCTGGAAAACCTGGTAGCCTCTGGGGCCAGGGAATCTCACGTTTGTCAAGTAGGAGCCTCTGGAGCCTAGGGGCCTCCGGGTAACCCGGGAGCCTCTGGGGCTTGGGAGTCCGGGAGCCTGGGGTCTCAAGTGTTTGAAGCTTTCTCACCCCGGCGGTCCGATAAGGTCCGCATGAACTTTTGACCAGCTCCACTGCGAGAGTCTCACTCGTTGTCTGCGACGCAGGCCTCCATGGCCTTCCCGAGGTTGCCATCTCGACCCTTGGGCCGTGGTAAATTCTCGACGCCCTCCGACTTCGCGAACGTCTGCTTGATGGCCGAGCTGAGCCCGTCAAGGGTCTTGCTCCGAGTCTGGTCATCAGGGTTTTCCGATAATGCTTGAGAGGCCACGGGCGCAATCTCACCCAACTTCACCTCGGTACGTTCGTTCTCGACCTCCCCGCACAGGCCGAGCAGCTTGGAAGCGATCGAGTCAGCGGGACTGGGAGCGGATGGTGCTCCATCCGCCGTCAGAGTAGGACTGGTGGGTGCTGCCTCGGCCTCTGTCATCTCACAGTCGCAAAATGCGATCTGACCTCGAATCGCAACAGGCTGCGGGATGAGATGTGGCCGAAGGGGCCCGACCCTCCAGAGCTAGGACCAGCAGCAGGAGGATGGGGACGAGTAAGGATGATACGGAGGAGGCCAATAATGATGATGAGGAGGAGGAGGAGAAGAACGCGGATGCGGATACAGCGGAGGGGTGGGAAGGGTAGGAGTGGGACAGTGATGTCGTCGAGGTTCGAGTCGGATGGCAGCTCAGACCCGAAGTCAAACGGTGTCGCTGGGAAACCGTTCTTTGCTCGTTAGCCCCTCGCGAGGGGTCAACGCGCAAGGATGGGGGTTCCATATGCATGCGTACGTGCACGGAAGCATATCTGCATATGCATTGATGCATGCATGCATGTCTGTATATATTTATATGCATACAGGTAGGCACACAATTTAGCACCGAATTGGAGGCACTATAATTTCCGCGGGGTGATGACGATGATGGGAGGCTGCGTGAAATGGGCGGGGCCCAACCCCCGCGGGTGACGATGTCATTGATAAGATTACGAGACATGTATCGCGAGCTTCCGAACTCAGACTCCAAACGATGCAAGCAAGCTCGGCGGTGGGCCGTCAACGATCCTGTCCGCGCGGGACTCCTCGCTGTCGCCGCCCTCGCGGTCGTGACCGACATCCACCGCTGCCGAAAGTCGCTTTGCAAGGACTGCCGCTGGACGCGACGCGAATGCCGCTGGACGCTTCACCGCCGTCATCTTTCTCATCGCGATGCCCATCTCCTGGGAGCGGCGAGGGGGGCAGGTGGAGGTAGGATGAATTCGTCGATCGATCCTACCTCCACCTTCCTCTTAGAAGGAAGGGGAGGATGATGATGATGAGGAGGAGGAGGAGTAATGATACGGAATATTACCACTCCTCCTACTAACTCTTCCTCCTCCTCATCCTCCTCGGGGTCGGGGCTGTGCTCGGCCGATCTCGTGTCCTGCAGCTTGTCGTCCCTGGCGCTGTGGAGCTGCTCAAGCTCCACCGCTCCATCGCAGTAGCTGGTGGCCAAGTCCTTCATGAACTTCTCGGCCGCAGTCGGGTTCTTGAACAGGTCTGGCCTCGCCTGGCACTTCTGATCGCCGTCGACGTAGATCGAGATGATGCGGGGCCTGTGCGGCCCCTCACTCCTGTACTTCACACCTGCACAGTCTCGCCAGTACCCTCACTCATATCACAAATCAAGGCCGATCGCGATGACAATGCTGCTGGTTTCTTCATCGCACTCCCGCTGCTCTCATCATGTGCTGCAGGTCGCTTCTTGCTATTGTTGTCATCGTCGTCACGCGGTGCACCGGCAGGCTGCTGGATGCCAACCTCCTTGAACTGGCCAATTGTAATATCTGTGATGATGTGCTCGAAGCCGTCGGACCACTTGGCCGTGATTGGGTCGCCGTCCGTGTCGCCCATGATGCACTCGTCGTCTGCGAACTCCTTCCTGTTCGCATCAGAGGTGCTACTCCTCCATGCCTGTCTGAGCTCGGTGTCCCAACCTACGTAGTATTGCTCCTCATCGTCCTCGACGACAGGCAGCCGATTCCTGAACTCCTCAATCCACTTTGGCACTTTCTTTTCATTCAGGCCCTGGCTCATGTGCCGTGTCTGCGCAAGAATCCGATCAGAGATCGTCTTCGGCCAGTCGCGTCGGTGGGACTCCTGCTTGAACCGCGTTTTATTTTCCTCACCGATCGTAGCCATGATGCTGAGAACGGTGCTCCATTTGAAAATTAGACTGCCTCCTGTCTTCTCCCCAAGCTTCAGATACATCTCGAAATTTCGGCTTCATCAATTCTGGTTTGCGGACCGGCTTCTCGCCATCATAGTTAAGCCAGTTCGTTGATGCGACGTGCGGTCGGACCACGTTAATGCCATCATCCACGCTGAGTTCGGCTCGTCTGCGTGACATATACTCATATATGTGCTGCGTCGACCTCCGATCTGCGCCGACCTCCGAGCCAAAACGGCTGCGGGTGGGGGAAGATGAAGACGAGGAGGAACGACCAATCCAACAACGCATCTCTTGTCATCTGCAACCTGCGCACAGGTCCAAAACACTGTCTCGCCGACCATCTGCCCACGTCCACGGGCCCAAAAATCTGCCCCACGAAGCATGTGAAGGGTGTGCCGACAAGGGCGGGGCGGCATGCGAGCGTTGCAACTGAAGCCGCCAGTGGAGATCCCCATGGGGCCACGAAACGTGCGAGAGGTGTGCCGAAGTGGGCGGGCGGCATGCGAATAACGCAACTGGGGCATTCGATGGAGTTCCTGATGGGTATGAGACTGCATGGTCTTGCTTATTTATGGGGCCACGAACGTGTGCGGGGTGTGCCGAATTATAGTGGCACACGCAATTGATACGTAGATTGCTTCATCCCTATAATATCTATGTATATATAATTACGGCGTTTACGTACAGGTGCATACATGTGACACATACATACATATATATACTACATGGATGCATATAACATGTTTTACATATGCACGGTACATGTATACAGTAAACGTGCTTATGTATTACATTTGCATGTGTTACATACACAAGCACACGCATGTGTACGTGCTGATCATGCAGTTTCTACATGTATGCATATGGCCACGTACATGTTTCACACGCGTACAGTACATGCTTCGTGCATATTTTATGATAACGCATATGAGAATCAAATGCACACGCCATATGCGCACATACATGTGGGAATATATTTACACACAACATACACATAATATCATACTGCACCCTCGGCTATTTATACACATCATATACATCGGTTGTAAACACACATACAGACATACATACTGCCACGGCCCCTGACAGATCCCTTCTCTTATCTGTGATCGGTGGTTTGTATTTCAGTGTTTCCGCGCCGTCCGTTCCCACTTGTGTTGGAGGTGCATCTAATATGGCCTGCCCCGTGTGGGCATTTGGAGTGCGAGCGTAATCTTGCAAAGCCGTGCCGCATTGTTTGATGGGTGCCATGTTTTTTGAAAGGCGCATGACTATTTTAAGGGTGCAGGACTATTTTTAGGGCGCAGCACTATTTTAAGGACGCAGCACTATTTTAAGGGCGCAGCACTATTTTAAGGGCGCAGCACTATTTTAGGGCGCAGCGCTATTTTAAGGGTGCAGCACTACTTTAAGGGCGCAGCGCTAATTAAAAAGTGCCAAATTATTTTAAGGGCGCATGACTATTTCAAGGGCGCACGAAAATTTTAAAGCTGCAAGACTAAATTAAGCAGCCATACTAAAAATAGGCCGGATGAGACCTCCAGGTTCCAGCGGAGCGCGCGCCGCGTGCGCGGGCAGTTCTGTCCTGGCGGCCGTGCCGCCTGCAAACTGCTGCCTGCCGAGCGCGTCGCGCAGGTGGCCCCGCCGCGCGGTTGCCGGCGCGCGGCCCGCCAGGCGCCGCGGGATGGTCGGCGCCGCGATGGGCCGAGCGCCGCGCTCGCCCCCCCGGAGCGGCGCGGGCTTCGAGGTAGCGAGAGCGGCGGCGGGGCTCTCGGGGACTAGCCCCTCTGCTAAGCGGTCGCAGACGCCGCAAAAGGCAGCCGGCGCCCCGGTGTCGGAGAGCACCGCCCGCCAGCGCTCGAACCTGCCGCCGCCGACAGCGGCCCCGCTCCCCTTGGCAACCCGGAGGGCCTTCTTCAGCCGCCCGCAGGAGAGGGGCGCGGCGTCGAGCTGCCGGGCCGGCGGCGGCGCCAGGACGGGGGCGTCTGGAGCTGCTGCCCAGTTTCCGGCGTCAGAGGCGCCAGCCCCAGGCTGCTCTGGAGCGCGGCTGCCCTGGAATACTCCTCGGCTGGCGCCTTCCGCAGTGCCTCGTCGGCCAAGGCGCTGGCGCCCTGGCCTGGGCAGCGCCCCCCGCGCCGGGCCTTCGCCAGTGCCTTGCCTGCCTTTAACAGGGGTTTGGTCTGCCAGGGCAAGCCGATGCTCGCCATCGTCATCATCATCATCATCATCGTCATCTTTATCGTATCAGCATCATCATCAGCATCATCAGCATCATCAGCATCATCAGCAACAATATCAGCAACATCATTTTAATCATTCCGTTTCATCATCATTATCATCATCATCATCATCATTTTCACCATTCCATCGTCATCATCATCATCATCATCATCATCATCATCCCCATCATCATCAACGCGGCCCCAAGAGCGCCCCAAGAGGGGCCCAAGAGGACCCCAAAATATTATCAGCAAGACGGCCCAAGGCCTCCAAGACGGCCCGAGAAGGCCTGGACCCCAAGACGGCACCCAAGGACCCCTCTCAAGTTTTCTGCCAGCCTAAGACGGCCGCCCTGGCTCAAGTTTTCTGCCGGCGCCTACGGGCGCCACCGCCGCCCGACGGCCTACCCGACGGCAGCCCGACGGCCTGCCCGACTGCCCCAGCGAGCAGCATGGCCGCTAACATCTACCGAGATGCAGAAGAAGATGAAGATCCCGTTTTGGTCGCTAGAGATTGGCCCTAATGGGTCGTGGATGCCGTTGTACGTGAATGTGGAGCCTTGCGGTACATATGGCGCCATGTTCCCGACGATCGCCGAGTGCAAGGCTGAGTTGAAGCGGAGCCTCTCGTGGATCAGCGAACTCGTGTTCGAGCCAGAGCTGTGCTACATCAAGATCCCGCCGCCAGGCGAGCCGATGCCGACGGTGCCAGTTCCAGAAGGCGACTACCCGCTCAATGACAATTGGGTCGTGAACGACCGCACGGCGCTCTACATCAACATCCCGTTGCCGGAGGCTGGCTACCCGCTGGAGTGCGACATGACGCAGAATCGCGAGGGCGAGAAGAAGGACGCCAAGGACGCGGTGAACGTGACGACCCCCGGGAGCGACACCAGCAGCATCAAGGGGTGGGTGCACGCGAAGAGCGCCAAGGACACGCAGCACCAGTTCACCATCGAGGAGGTCTACCAACTGGGAGTCGCAGCGGGCGTGCAGAAGCAGCTGGAGGCCGCCAGCAGCTCGGCGTAGGCTTTCGACTTGCCCGACGGCCCACCCGACGGCCTACCCGACGACCAGAGACTCGGCCTACCCGACGGCCTACCCGACGGCTTACCAGACTCCCTACAGGACAGCCTGAAAACGATACGAGACTCGACGCCTGGCCTGCAGGCCTGGCCTTCGCCGACTCGGCGCGCTTGAAAATGAGCGCAGAGGCCCCGAGGTCCCCAGAGGCCCTCAAGAGGCCCTCGTCATCATCATCATCATCAGCATCGTCATCATCACCATATTAATCATAATCAGCATCATCATCAGCATCATCGCCATAATCATCACTAGCATCCGTTACATCATCCCGTCGTCATCGTCATCATCATCACCGCCATCATCATCATCAGCATCATCATCATCGTCATCATCATCATCGTCATCATCATCATGATCATGATCATCATCATCATCATCATCATCATCACGGCCCCGAGAGCGCCCCACGAGCGCCCCGAGAGGGGCCCAAGAGGCCCCAAAAATATCCCCAAAACGGCCCAAGGCTTCCAAGACGCTCCGAAACGGCCTGGACCCCAAGACGGCCCGAAGGGGTCTGGAATAAGGGGCGGGCGGGATCCCCGACAAGGGTCAGGATATCGTTTTTTTCGGCGCTGAACTCGTCTGGTCCAGGTCCACAGTGCTCGTCTGGCCTATTGTCCTCCTCCTCCTCCTCCTCCTCCTCCGCCTCCTTCTCTTTGCCTCCCCCGTCCCCATCATTGTTCCGTTGTTCCCCATCCTCATCTCCTCTTTCTTCGGCTCCTTTCACCCTCCCCATCTCCTCTTCCTCCTCTGGGGCACGTGCGGGTCTCTCAAGGCTCCGCCACTGCGTCCTCGCGGATCTGCTGCTCCTTAATGATGCCGCCCTCAACTCTGCCCTGGTCTGAATCGAGCATGTCCTGCGACACGTGTTGGAGGTTTGCGACGAAGGCGCGGAAGGTTCGGACTCTGTTGCGGAGGACCTTCGCCCTGTGCTTCTCGACCTTGAGGGCGATCCGGAGCTTCTGAATCTTGCGCTCGGGAGTCATTGTTGAATTGACAGAGCACAGAACACTGACAGGGCGGTGAAACCGAGCCTCTCTCACTGAATCTGAGACAAATGGCTGTGACGAGTGGTGAGATTGAAACCGAGCCTCTCTGAATCATGTGACTACTCCTGCGGGCACTACCAGTAGTAGTCACAGTAGTAGCTTAGTAGTGGTCGCAGTAGTCCACTGCTACCACTACCACTACCACTGCGACTATTACTATTACTATTACTACTACTACTACCACTACTACTACTACTACTACTACTACTACTACTACTACTACTACTACTACTACTACGACTACGACTACGACTACGACTACTACTACTACTACTACTACTACTGCTGGTCCTGCTATTGGTGCTGGTACCGTAACTGCTACTGGTGATACTCATTTTCCCACGTTTACGTCTACCAACGCATCTTCTACTATGCAAGAGTATTGCCAAGACTACGTTTAGCGTTGTTTCTTCCCTGAACATCATATTACTAACACATGTTTTCATGCCGCATCCACACGGCCGTTGCTACATGACGGATAGAATATGTCCTCAACCAGAACTTGCCTCTGTAGGGTTCTTAGCGGATTCGTATGGTTAGGTGAGTTCACCACCGATTTCCGCGGCCCGCCCGGGTGCCCGGGTGCATGGGTACCCTATAGCCCTACAGCCTTAT